AAGAAACACAACAGACGTAACATTTTACTAATTTTAGCAAGGGGGTGTTAGTCGTTGCAGACTGATAAGGATGCTACAGAAAACTATAAAGACAAAATTTATCGAAGTGTTCACCGTATTGAAGAAATTTGTTGCTAATATGCGTTATTAGAAATATACATGCCAATACACGATGTTTTATTCCATTATTCATCGAGATAATTACATTAGAAACTTATAGTTCATCATAACCCTTTTGGCAAATATAGTCGTATTGACATCACACATTTTATTCTGAGTACAGACAAACCTGTGCACCTGGTTTAAGGCAGGAACTTGATATTTAAATTATAAATACATTTTATATTTCAGAAAATTATAAACTTTTATGGATTTTGAGATTCCTTTTTTTCGTTCCCTCAGATGGTGCCAAGTTCAACTATGTTTATATTAATGTTTGAGATGTTCCCCTATGTATAAATATAAGTTAAATATTTAAATTGACATGGACAAAAGATGGACAATAGATACATGAACAACAAAGGTGATTTAAAAAGTGTAATTGAGTGGACCGTATCAAACGAAATGTAGGTGTTTTTTTTACTTAGGCACTGATGTGGAAACGGAAAAAAAAGGAATCTCAAAATGAAAGGAAGTTTTAAATTTTTTCCGAAACATTAACTGCATTTGAAATGTGATTATCTAGTTCTTGTCATGCCTTAAAACTTTACCAGATGCATAGGTTTGTCATGTACTCAGAGTAAATTTTGTGGTGTAAACATTGCCATATTTTTCAATTCCTTCTATTGAACATAAGAAAACAAAATTTAAAAGATGTTAATCTTTGCTGTATATTGATGCAAAAAAAAAATTAGAAAAAATCAGGTACATACAAAATCTAAAGATTTTACAGGTAACCAATTTTCGGAGTGTTTCACAATTTCGAAAAATATACAAGTTTTCAAGTACACCGGTCTGCTCTGGTCACGTGAACTTCCAATATAGAATCGTCTTTTCGTTAATATAACAATTTAAAAGTTGTGTTTGTGCATGTTCAAAAATCAAAGATAAAGATTTTTCCAAAGTATGTTATCCGTTAAAAGATTTTTACTATTTTGGTACAATTTTAAGAAATCTTCGATTTCTGTACATATATTTGCGGTCTTCTCGATCTTCTCACATTCAATGTTTGCATCGGGATAATGTTCGTTTGAATTGGCTTAGTAACTTTATTTCAAAAAGTGTTAATCTTTGCTGCATATCAATCGATTCTTTTGGATTTTCTTCCTGAACGTCTCTGATCTAGCTCAATACAAAGGCGGATAATTGGCATGTTCCAGAGAGGTAAACAACCAGTAGAAAAAAAATTGAAGTTGGTATTCCAGAAATTTATTCAAATTGCAGTACCTAACGCAATTTTACAAAAAGCTCCAATAGCCTGTTTTACTCGTCGTTTGCTATTTTAGGATGGAAATGACAGCATTATATTGAAATTTAGTTTTCATTTAAGATAATTTTTATGGTTACTATTTACCAGAACGTTTTCTTGTGAATTTATAAGTATTAGCGTCTTTGCTAAAACAGAATTAATATTGAAAAGATCAAGTTTTCAGTGTTTACAGGGGCGGTAGTATTTGGACACTAGATTTCCCATTGACAGTGTCAAGATGCAGTGACAAATTCTGGAAGTGGTAAAATTGATATCCTTGAACATTGCAAAACATTTTCACCCTTTACAAAGGCGATTTTGGGTAAAATGGATAACAGAAATAAATCATAAAATTATCGTTAAAAAAAATAGTTGAAATTTAACACAATTAAATATATCCTGTTAAAATTATGTAAACACGCGGTACGTCCTCTACAATGTAAGAATAATTTGTCTTTTCTGGCACATTTCGAAATGCTTGATTTCCTTACATCATGAAATTCTCAATGTGTTACCTATGTGAATAAAAGAAAACGCTGCGGTCTCCATCGATTGGTCACCTCAGTGGAGGCAATGCATTCTTCGCCTACTAGCATTCTCTAATTTTACACCTGATAATAATTCTCATAAACTACACCGAAAAGCGGACGCAATATATTTTTATGTTGTATACATGAAGATGGTGCACAATTTGCCACAACAAGGTTCACCTTCAATTGAAATCGATGCAAACAATTTTAACAGATGTCATTTTATGAGTGGAGGAGGCAATTGTGTTCAAGCGGAGTGTGCACTGTTCTTTCGAAGAGAATTCGTCGAACTTCCTTGCTGGAATTGGCATTTGGAATAGTAACCAAATTTAAGCTTCATAATGAATATAATATGTATTAAGCCATGTTTATTTACCAGCAGGTGCGGATTCAGGCGTTGTGCGACTATCCCTACCCCTCCCCCCCCCAAAAAAAAAAAAGAAAAAGAAAAGTGAAATAAAGGTAAATTTACAGCCAATTTTGCGTCAAAATATGGTCCACTTTAATGCCTGTAGATGCGTTAGTTTAAAAAAAAAATGCAAATATTATGAGAGTAAAGATACTTAAACATTTGTTTGTTTGTGTTGAAAACAAATGCAATTATTTCCTAATTTAAATGGGATATTAGTAAATTTTGAACATCAGAATGTTTTTCATCAAATGTAGTGAATATAACAAAACAAAAACCTATAATTAATCGCTAGAACTCCAATAGGAAAGAGACTGCTGTGTCGACAGGGCTAACGTCTCCTGCTGTGAAGGCATCACCCGTCATGTATGTTAAAGTAAAGGAATAGTACTACAGCAAGAGAGACACATTAAAATCAAAGGAAAATTTGAGGTGTGTCATATTCGTTGATTCATAATATCCAAGGAAGGAATACACAATAAGAAGGACACATTTATATTAAGTATTAGAATACCAATTATTTTGTAAAGTGCACCTACATCGTTCATAAATATTATCAAAATATATTGCTTTATTACTTTCTTTGTATGCCTAGTTATGAAGTTTTTGTAAACTTTTAACTGAAAATGAATTGAAACATTTGAAAATGACATAGTTGAACTAATATTTATTGAAGAACTGTTTAAATAGATGTGATTTTTTGTTTTCCTGGAAGATTGTGTTATACGGTGTTATCAAGGTAGAGACAAATGTTTCGATGAAATGAACAAATATGAGGGAACTTACTCTTACAAACTGTTGCTAGGCCATATTATCACTGTTGAGTTATATCTTGGTTGACAAAAGATTTACAGCTTAGATTTTTATATGACCAATTGCATATTTTTGAGGCTGTACGAAGATTTCCAGATTTCCACATTTTGATGTATTATGTTATTTTTTTTTTCATTCAATTCAGCAGGAAGTATTATTTTACTCCCCCGACAGTCTATGGTGAATGACCTCCAAAATTACAAGACAAATTAACGTCATTGTAAAGAAGCTGGTTATATTCAGACTATATCCGGGTGTGTACTGTAAATTCAATCGGGACAAGATTTCACGAAGCCTTTTGTCGGAGTTATTTGATGTTTACTTTGCCCTTACTAACAATCACAACATTGTTCTTACTTTTCTTAGTTTTTAAGCGAGTTGCCAAAATAACATAACCAATAAATCCATTTTACTGATATATCAAATGTACAGCATATAGATGTTAAAAAAGACATTTATTATTTTAAGCAATATCATTGCTACATGTAATAACGCATTTTTTCAACACTTTGTCTCAATAACTAACAACACTCGATTGGCCTAATCATAATCATCATCGGTGTTTATGACTTTCAGTAACAAAAAAATAAAAAACTATTTATAATTTACGAAGATCTCCAGATTTCCACATTTTGATGTAGTATGTTACTTTTTTTTTCGTTCAATTCAGCAGGAAGTTTTGTTTTACTACCTAGACAGTCCATGATGAATGCCCTCCAATATTACCAGATATATTAACGGCATAGTAAAGAAGCTGGTAATTTTTATACTATATCCGGATGTGTACTGTAAATTCAATCGGAACAAGATTTCACGAAGCCTTTTGTCGGAGTTATTTGATGTTTACTTTGCCCTTACTAACAATCGTAACATTGTTCGTACTTTATTTGGTTTTTAAGCGAGTGTGCCAAAATAACATAACCAATAAATCCATTTTACAGATATATCAAATGTACAGTATATAGATGTTTAAAAAGATATTTATTATTTTAAGCAATATCATTGCTACATGAAATAACGCATTTTTTCAACACTTTGTCTCAAAAACTTACAACACTCGATTGGCCTAATCATAATCATCATCGGTGTTTATGACTTTCAGTAAAAAAAAAAAATAAAAACAATTTATAGTTTACGAAGATCTCCAGATTTCCACATTTTGATGTACTATGTTATTTTTTTTATTTTATTCAATTCAGCAGGAAGTTTTATTTTACTCCCTAGACAGTCTATGATGAATGTCCTCCCACATTACCAGACTTATTAACGGCATAGTAAAGAAGCTGGTCATTTTCAGACTATATCCGGGTGTGTACTGTAAATTCAATCGGAACAAGATTTCACGAAGCCTTTTGTCGGAGTTATTTGATGTTTACTTTGCCTTTCCTAACAATCGTAACATTGTTCGTACTTTATTTGGTTTTTTAAGCAAATTTGCCGAAATAACATAACCAATAAATCCATTTTACTGGTGTATCAAATGTACAGTATATAGATGTTAAAAAAGACATTTGACAGTTGTTATCAAATAGTCCGTTTCTATGTATGTTGGCGTTTGTTTTTGTTGCATTTCGGTGTTTCTGTTGTTCTGTTGTTTTCCTCTTGTAGTGGATGTGTTTCCTTCGGTTTTAGTTTGTAACCCGGATTTGTTTTCATTTATCGATTTATGACTATTGAACAGCGGTATACTTTTGTTGTCTTTATTTATTATTTTACGCAATATCATTGCTACATGTAATAACGCATTTATTTCAACACTTTGTTTAAATAACTTACAACATTCGATTGGCATAATCATAATCATCACCGGTGTTAATGACTTTCAGTAACAAACAAAAAATGAAAATAAATGATAATTTTATTCATTTCCAAAACGCAGACAAGATTTCTGTCTTGAAAGTATCAACCTCATCCTCTATATCGGTAACTTCCACCAGGGTAACCATATTTACCGCCATATTTACCACCATATTTACCACCATGGTACTGTAAAACAATTGAGATATATTTGAAGAAGTGTTTATTGTAGTAGATGTTTTGATTGATCTTGCGATATTGTATGATAAGCTTTTACGTGGATATGTAATGTTTGTTTCACCAGGGTACACTTTTACTCACTACATGACAATATCATAAGGTTGATAAGAATGAGATGTATTGCAGTATATTTTTTGAAAAGTTTGCTATGTACGATAATTTTGTCAGATTTTGAAGCTTTTTGAAAATTGAACACAAAAAGGAACGCAGTGAGTAAATAAAGTCAACATTTGACCGATCTGCTTATTTCTGAATATAAAAAGTCAATGTTTCATGGCATTGTCAGTTTGTTTTCGACTTTCGAATTTGAATATCCCTTTGGTATTTTTTGCCTCTCTTTTTTGACCAGTTTCAGACTTCGCTTGTTAGGCAGTTAAATTATTTCTCACAATCAATTATTACTTTTTAAGATGATTAATTTGGTTTTAACATGAGTTAAAGAACGTTATTATTTTGATGCAGAAAAAGAACAAAAATCTACATTCAGGATTACTGTTATATTTGTAAATCTGGTATATAGGTATACTGATGTTTATTTCATGCATATTGTAGATCTTTCTTTATATTAACAACATTAACTGTACCAATTTCAATCACCTAATTTATATAATGTGTTCACTTTTATTTCTTCGGAGCATTTAAAATGAATAAACACACTTACTAACAGTGAGGCATATTAAATTGACTTTGAGTCGCTGAACAGCTTTCACATTCACAGCTTATATTAATAGTAATGAATCTCGACAAAAGTGAAATATTTCTATATTAAATTACATATTATTATAAATTTATTTAAAATAAACCAGTCATACACCATGCATATTATTTACATATTCCGAATAATGAAACAATTTAATTTCTATGATAAGAAAACAAATACACTCACCCTTCCACCATATTTTCCTCCATACCCTTTATAACCTTTGCCATATTTTCCGTATTTTCCATATTTTCCATATTTTCCATAGGCAGCTGTAATTATTAAAACATTGAGAAATGTATCTATGGATATCATTAGGGTCGATGCAATTAAGTATTTCTGATAAGCGCATTTTCTAAAAAAAAAAAAAAACCTTGGACAAAAAAAGTTTTATTACACCAAAAATGATAACAACCTTGTTAAAATATTATCTAATACATAAGAATTGTATTTTTGAGTATTCATAGAATATGTAGTTTGATTCTGAATAAAAAGAGATGGATTATTAATGTAGAGACGAAATCAAACATGTTCACAAAACACTGCATAGAAATCTAAAAACTAAGCAACAAGAACCCGACTGAAACTGGCGAAGGTCTCAGATGCTTTGAAAAGGTAGGTAGATTCTGCTGCACTATTGAATATATTGATCACAGATTTATAATCAATTACTGAAAATTCGTAAATGTAAAATATTGTAGGTAACTAATTTATATAATCTAAACAAAAACCAAAATAAAAAAAAGGTAAATTTAAAAAAAAGGGATATTAATACCAAGAGGCAAAATAAAAACAATGCGTCTATGAAAGACAGATAACATAATCATTGTTATAATAAGACCCGTGAGCAAGTAATCATGGGTCCGCAAAACATACAACTCAACATTAATCGAAACCAACCAAAAATGCCACGGTAGTGTATAAGATGTTAGGTTATAAATTGTTCATGTTGAGACAAATCACAATGACATATACAAACTAAAGGAACCACATAAACTTCAAAGGGAGCCAGAACAGTTGCAAAGATAGGATTAGCGTCTCCCGCGTTGCATGCTCTGCATGCTTAAAACACCATGCTTATCCACACTCAGTTAAAATGTCACAATCAGGAATAGGGCAACTTCAGCTGTCAAATTCATATTTTTTTGGTGTATTTCTGACTGGACGCCATCTAATTAACAATTGACATTATCCACGAAAACTGACAAATGGTGTGTGACCCCGTTATAATTATCAATATAAACAGACAGGAAAACATAAAATACAAATAAACAGGTAAGCACCTGGAACAAAATAAGTATAAAAAAGGAAATTATGATTGACAACTCACCACAAGAGACAAAATGACACAGAAATCAACCACTATAGGTCATTGTAAGGCCTTCAACAATGAGAAAAACCAATCCCGCATAGTCAGCTATAAAGGGAACAATAAAAGGTCGATTTTCTTACTTATGTGGTATCTCATTTTATAGATTGAAAACATATAGATGAAATGTAAATGAGTTACTCATAACCCGTTTCATATTGATATTTTGAAGTCAAATCAATCAACGAAATCGGGATTCATATGCTTAATTTTACGTTTCCTAGTTTCACTTTATTATCTGACTTTCAATCGAATCCCTGGATATGCGTATCACACACTGAACCCATCTAAAACATAATTATATCAAAGGTTTTAAATGAGGTGGAATCAATGACACGCAAACCAATAATATATCAGCGATATTTTTTTGGTCTTATTTTGACAAAATATTAACCAATCTTACTACAAATAGGGGAACTTAATTTCGAAATTCCTCCTTTATAGATATTTTGAATTTTGAATCGTTACTAAAGGACATTTAATTAAACATGTAAACGGAAATCAGTTCTGTTTATTATATGTAGTTTGATGAAACAATTGTCTTTGCTTTTGCTGTAATGTCCCTGACAGGTAGAAAATCAATCGGTACAATGTACCGTACATACAAATGTGTAATTCGAGTCAATTGTAAGCTATGTATTCATTACCATTTTTTGTCTTTTTTTTACTTACCAACTGGCATTGTAACAGAGGCTACCATCAGCAGAGCAACAAGGACTATTATTCCGAATAACTTCATGTCTGTTATGCTTTTCTTTTACACTTCACTGTGGACGTTTTTTGGGATGCTGACGATGATCATTATTCAGTTCCAGTATATATATATGCATTATGCTTGGAACAGCTGGTTGGTACAAATACATAACTACAAGAACTTTATACTGTTTCAACATGTCTGACAACGTTTGTTAAAATGTCAAAAACCAACAGCAATGAAGGACAATGAAAACGCTGCAATGTACATTGTGTAAGTATTTACATATAACATAATAACAAGGTTTTAGATGTATGTTTATGTAATACTTAAACTACGATATGATTAAATATTAATCTGCTTATATAAAAAAGAAGTATGTTACTAGAAGAGAGGCGAAGGATACTAAAGGGACATTCAAACTCATAAGTCAAAACCTCGTTATGATTATAATGAATTTTATTAATTTTTTTATTTATTTATTCATTGACAAGTTTGATCGTTTATATAAATATACATTGTTAATTTCCATTGTGTAATGCAATGTATGGTAAAAGATAATACTATTGCAGCTGCTATAATAGTTTTAGGTAAATAAATTGAAGAAAAACTACGGTTTCTTATTGGTGCATTCTGAATAAAATTCGGATCTTTCATAACTTTCATTCGTATTCACCTCTATGTCTTGCATTATTCTGGACATAATATTCACTTTCATGTATGATAATATAGTATCAACATATGCTAATCTTACTTCAAGCATACGGATTCATTATATCTATGGGTAGCAGATTCTGCTGAACAAATTTTATTGGTTTTAAAAAATATGGGATGCCTATATAATTCTTTCATTACTTTTTGTAGTTTAGAGGTTGTTTTATACAATTACACATATTATTTTTGTAAACAGGATATTTTAAAAATGTGTTGGCGTATTTTACAAAATAAATGGAGCATGTCCCCATGAACACAGATGATGCCCCTGCTTGCATACAACATAATAAAGGGACATAACTCAAGAACAATAAAAGTGACGTTACCTAAATTTGTACTTGATCTTAGTTTTGTCGTAATAAGTATTGTGTATAGGTTTCATGTTTGGTTGGGGCAAACTTAAGTTACAGAACGGAAACTAAAAATTTTGCAATTTTTTCGATTTATAATGGGGCATCACTCAATCATGGTTAAAGTGACACTACCCAAATTCAACTTGATCTGTGTTTTATCAGTGGAAGGCAAAATTAAACATTGCATTGTATAAAGCATTGATTGTAGTTGATTCAACTATAATCATGGACAAAGGAAGATAGCTCCAATTTTAAAAATTACTTGAACAATGGCATCATTGATATTTTTAGAAAAAAATGAAAAATTGCTATTGTAAAGGGGCATAACTCTAGAACAGTAAAAGTGACGCCACCATAATTCAAACTTGATCTGTGTATTGGGAAAGGAAATGAAAAATTTTGCAATTTTTCCATTTACAAAGGGGCATAACTCTAGAAAGGTTAAAGTGACGTAACCAAAATTCAAATTTGATTTGTGTTTTGTGGTAATAAGCATTATATATAAGTTTGGTTGAGGCAAACTTAAGTTAGAGAACGGAAACCAATTTTTGGATGTACGAACGTACGTATGTACAGACGGACAAGGGTAAAACTAAATGCCCCCTCCGCTTTGGCTGGGGGATAAAAATGTGGAAATAGCATCTTCATCTTTGCAGGATGCTGATATGGCTTTATAAAGTTCCATATTAAACACACCATCATTTGGATGCTGGCATCGAATATATATATAGACTTTGATATTCCTTTTGTTTGGATGCTGGCATCCAAATTACATGTATATGCATGCAGACTCAACTTTCTCTTTGGATGCTGCCATCCCATGAAAAAAAATTGGATTTCATCCTTAATCTCAGGGATGCTGGAATCCCAGTTGTAAGTAAAAGTTGTCTCAACACATTATAAATTGAATACTGACAGTCATTTCCTTTGGATGCTGGCATCTTTTTCTGTGAAAGCTAGTGGCCATTTTGTTTAAAGGCTGACATCTTTGCATTATATTTTTCTTTATATATTTGACCAGGTGACAGGTTTAATCGCTCAATTGAAAAGTCTTTTATCTTTTAAAAAATAAATGTGGATAGTGTCCACATGTGGACATATATGATGCCCCCGCTTGTATATCATATAGTTATAAAGGGACATAACTGAAGAACAGTAAAAGTGACGCTACCCAAATTTGAACTTGATCTGAGTTTTGTGGTAATAAGCATTGTGTGTAAGTCTCATCACATTTGGTTGAGGCTAACTAAAGTAGAGAACAGAAACTAAAAATTCAGCAATTTTTCTATTTGTAAACACGCATAACTCTTGAACGGTTGTGTATAAGTTTTATAACATTTGGTTGAGACAAACTAAAGTTAGAGAATGGAACATAAAATTCAGCAATTTTTATGTTTATAAAGGGACATAACTCAAGAATGGCAAAAGTGTTGCCATCAAATTTCGTACTTAATCTGTATTATGTTGTAATAAGCATTGTGTATAAGTTTCATAATATTTGGTTGAGGCAAACTAAAGTTAGAAAACGGAAACAAAAAATTTGTACTTGATCTTAGTTTTGTGGTAATGAATATTGTGCATAGGTTTCATAATGTTTGGTTGGGGCAAACATAAGTTACAGAATGGAAGCTAAAAATTTTGCAATTTTTCGATTTATAAAGGGCATAACTCAATAATGATTAAAGTGACACTACCCAAATTCAAATTGATCTGTGTTCTATCAGTGGAAGTCAAAATTAAACATTGCATTGTATAAAGCATTGATTGTAGTTGATTCAACTATAATCATGGACAGAGGAAGATAACTCCAATTTTAATAAAATTACTTGATATTTAGAAGAAAATAAAATTTTTGCAATTTTTCCATTTCTAAAGGGGCATAACTCTAGAATGGTTAAAGTGACGCCACCAAAATTCAAACTTGATCTGTGTTTTGTGGTAATAAGCATTGTGTATAAGTTTCATAACATTTGGTTGAGGCAAACTTAAGTTAGAGATTGGAAACGAAAAATTCAGCATTGTTTCCATTTGTAAAGGGACATACTAGTATATATATTTGTTTAGGGGCCAGCTGGAGGACGCCTCCGGGTGCGGGAATATCTCGCTGCATTGAAGACCTGTTGATGTCCTTCTGCTGTTGTC